CATTCTCTTGCTCTCCTTCACATTGACACTTTTTCTCTTGTTTTATGAGGATTCCTAACCAGCCAAAAGCATTGGCATGTGTGAGATGGCACAAGTTTTATGCAGAGTCCATTTAGTAAAGAACCAGTGATGTTAAAGCCACTTAGAGAATTCAAAGGAGATGGGCACTTGCTTTTCAAACCAACCATTGTCAGCATCTATTCTGGACGAAACAAAGTCTTTAAGCTATTGTGAGATGGGATTAAGTTCGCCTCATTTCCCATTATAGCTTAGGTGCTTTTTCTGATGGTATGTTAATTGGTACAAACGTCTCCCAGACTAACCACAGTGAGAAGAACAGCAGCTGATTCAGCCAGGGCAGGGGCTTGAGGTGCGGGAGCAGGTGGGGCATCAGCAGCGTTACTGCACAGCCGCCATCACCTGCTTCACCTATCTGCGCATCGGACGATGGGAGCCCGGAGGACGGAAGGAAAAGCTCAGGACTGGAAGCAGACCTCATGAGTGAAGCAAACCTATGCAGTTACTCAGCAGCACAGGGTAACAATAAAGGGAGCCGTCCTTATTTCTCACAACCGTGTCTTTATACATTAGACCAGTGCCTCCTGTTTGGTCACCATTTTAACAGATACCCAAGCCTCTACTGAACGCGGATATACAAACAGAGATCAAATTAAGAAAACAATTCAGTGTATATCCTCTGCGATAACACAGGGCTTGGCTAGACAATTAAAAGTGGGGCCTGTGGGGTCAGAACCTAGAAAGCAGCGAGCTGGTGTCTGGTTCAGGGCTAGATCCAACAGGCCGAGTCATGTTTCAAGATCTGGAAGTTCACTGGTAGTTGCTCCAAACCACATGGAGAAGGTGTCCCAGACCAAGCTGCACACAGACCCAACCGCCAGTGCCAGGGTGACTGGCCAATCTGAAGACAGAGGGCTGCAGGGCCTGGGATGGCTGAATCCTCCAAGCAGGACATACTGGTTCTCGCCTTGAATCATCTTAAAGGCCCTCCTGGTACCTGACATGGACAATGACACAAAAACCTTATTGCAAAAGGATAATTAAACACAATCACATTTTGTAGAGGGAGGGGGAGGCGGGAGCCAGTGAACTCTCCCTCCCTGGGATTCTGGAAACAGATATCTGTGGTTGAGGATTTAAGCTTTCCCCAGCTGGGACTGGGAATAGACAGAAACTGGAGCTTCATTCCCGTTTCTAAATTGTCTTATCACCTTCATCTAATGTATTGGAATGCTTTATAGAGTCTTTGGTCTTCTTAAGAGCTTTAAGAAATGAGTCAATGGAAGGAAATATTCTCATTTTCTAAAAGTCATTGAATTAAACAGGAGAAAGCTTATACACAGCAGGTGAATACATATCTTTAAAAGGCTGACAATAAAATAATCACTGTTTTACATGATGGATGCTTACTCAGAGGGTAGTGATTTGCCTGCCCATCTCACGAAGGGAATCTGCTGTGGACATAATTGATTATACACTACCGGTATAATCCATTCTCCACTTGGTGGCAATAGCATGAGCTGTTGAGACTGGAGTAAGCTAACAATCCCATTAGTGTGAGCGCCATTCCTCTCCCTCCAATTCTCTCTGGTGCTTATTGACATTTTTGTTCTGTATTCAAAGCTGCTGCTGGAGCTGCTGCCTTGGCAGGCACCGCTTCTGTTAGCAACGTGGTCCCTCCTATGTGCAAGGGTGGCTAAAAAGACCACCCCTGGACCCACAGTCATCCCTACATTACCTATTGTCTTACTGGGTCATTGGTTGGTGGCAATGGCAACAAAATGAAGTCTGCTACTGTCTGGGGCTTGGGAACCCTGCCGGTGGGCCCAGGGACTCTTCATTCAGCATAAGCTGTTCCCCTTCTCAGTGCTGCACTGGGTATGGCTGCTCAGTGGGCCCGTTCCCCAGCTGTCACCAGGAGAACCCCATGACTCCTGGTGCATTGACTTGAGTCTCTGGAAGAGCTCTTAGGGGAAATATGCTCCCATTCCCTCATGTTTCTGAAGAACAAATGGAGGCTCAGAACCGGAACCTGCCATGGCTGAACTCACTCAGGTAGGTAGAGGGATCTTCTCATCGCTAATAACACTAAGACTAGACATTTACATTGAGCAACTACATGTGGTGGGCACTATATGCTATTTCCAGTTTTCACCACAACTCTGCAGTTAGGCATTATTATCCCCTTTTACAGGTTGGAATACCAAGTCTCAGAGAACTTGAATGGTTTGCCAAATACCACATCACTAATAAGCGGTTGAGTTTGGACACAAACCTAGGTCTGTCTGACTCCAGAGCCTCTGCTCCTTCCTACCTTGATTTGAACAGTACATGGGACAATTCTAGGCCCCATCACTCTCAGGCTCCAGAGCAAGGCCTCCCATCACCCACACTGACCTTAACTATTACATCCTCCCCTCAAGGGCTTCAGAAGCTTGGTCTCCCAGGCGTACTGTATAACCTCACATAGTAGCCACTATGGAATCAGGATGTCTCGGCTGTTTGTGTGCACGTGCCCACTACAACCAAGGAATTCCAATGTCAGTGTGAACAGGTAGAGTCCATTCTTCAGGACCAGTCCGGCCTTGCTCTGTGAGAGTGACTTTCTTAGACTTCCTGGGAGATTCTAGGCTTACAGTCTGGCATCGATCCTAGTTTACACTCTGTGTTGACCATGACAAGTTATATAAGCCCTCTGAGCCTCTGTTTCCTTGAGTGTAAAACAGGCCAATAACAACCTGAATGTTATGAGGACAAAATCATATAAATATCCTAATACAGGGCCTAACATTTAGTAGGCCCTAAAGAAATGGTTGTTTCATCTCCTTTCCCTTGCTCCCCTTTTTCTCTACTCCTCTCTCTCTCCCAGTCACCATGGTCACTTTCCCTGACTTGGCCTCTTTTGATGCCCCTGCTATCACCAAAGTCTCCTGGCATCCTGCATTCCCTCTGCCATTATACTGCCTTTTCCTTCTGTATGATACAGAAGGACTAGGGGGCGGGGGGACGTGGGCTAACAGTGGCCCCACGGCCTGGGAACATTGGATATGGGAGATCCTGAGAAGAGAGAAAAGACTGTGATAACAGAATCAAGGATTGTTAGTGACAGAAAAACTATTTATTTGGTAGAGATTTTTAGTGTTCACTGTAACTGATTCTACTCTTATTCCAGGAAGATGGAAGTATTCTTCCTCTCCACTCCCTGCTTGTAACTACCCTTGAGTGGTGCCATGTTCTGGCCAATGGGTTGTGGGCGATAGTGACATGCATGACTTCCAAGCCAGAGCATTTAGTTGATGGTACAAGGTCCTCCAGCTTTGGTCCTGCCTGCCAAGGTCAACTCTGAAGTATCATGTTGAGATGGGGCATCATAACATGGTATAAAGTGATTTACATGGAGCAGAACCCAGAGTCATCCACAGTGGAGACATAATGTAAACAATAAGTATTGTTATTTTAAGCTACTGAGAGTTTGGGTGTGTCTGTTACCACAGAATAACCTGTAGAACACAGCAGTCTGAACCTTGACTTTCATGTCATAGCCCCTTGAAAAACGGTTTCTGAGGGCCCTAGCAGCAAGGCAGTGACCATACAGACCTTTTGGGAGAGAACCTAAATAACTGTAGGTTATTTACAACCCCCAAGTCCTCACTTTTCTCATCTGTAAAATAAGAGTTGGCATATACCAAAATGTGAGACACATACCATCACTGGTACTTTGGATCCTTGCTTCTCACCAAGTGATCCAACAACCGGCAGCACCAGCATCACTGAGATTGTGTTAGAAATGCAACTCCTTGGGTCCCACCCCAGACCTACTTAATCCAATTCTGCATTTTTAACAAGATCCCCGTATGATTCCTATGCACGTTAAAATTGGGAGAAATACTGATTTAAATAGTACTAGAGGGCTTCCCTGGTGGCGCATGCAGGGGACATGGGTTCGTGCCCCGGTCCGGGAAGATACCACATGCCGCGGAGCGGCTGGGCCCGTGAGCCATGGCCGCTGGGCCTGCGCGTCTGGAGCCTGTGCTCCGCAACGGGAGAGGCCACAACAGTGAGAGGCCCGCGTACCGCAAAAATAAATAAATAAATAAATAAATAAATAAAATAAATAGTACTAGGATTCAGCACTAAATGACCTATAATCACACAGTGAAAAAGTTATCCTTTTCCACTTGTCTTTCAACGTTTCTGATTCCTTCATGGAGAAAGTCTCAGTTTGATGCGAATATATCTTTAACACCTCTTTAACAGTTGCTAATTTTCTTCTTTTTTTAAAAAAATATTCACTTATTTATTTATTTGGTTACACCGGGTCTTAGTTGCAGCACGTGGGCTCCTTAGTTGCGGCATGCACGTGGGATATAGCTCCCTGACCAGGGATCGAACCCGGGACCCTGCACTGGGAGCGCAGAGTCTTATCCACTGAGCCACCAGGGAAGTTCCCTAATTTTCTTCTTTTCATAAAGAGAAAGCAAGCCTCAGGTTCCTGGGCAGGCAATAGTATTTGGCTTAATCACAGGAGCAGTGTTTTATTTTCACTGTTCTTATTTAAATGATGATCTTGTCTATATGGCAACTGTTGCCAGTTTCCTCTTTAAAGTAGTGATAGCAACATCTTTAAAATAAATTAAGTGGAAAAGTGAGTGTATTTAAAGAAAATGTATAATAAGTGGGAAGAAGTGTTTGCTTTAGTGTTTCCTTTCATGTCAGGGAACTCCACTGGTTTGACACTCCTGACTTCTTCCCACAGCTTCGTCATTAAGGAACTTTACTCATGCTGCGGGGTGTCGGGGTGAGGAGAGTTGCTATACCTCTCTGTACATTTGGGAGGAGTGAAAAGAACGCGCTCAGGTCAGCATCCCCCTTCTTCCTCTTGGAATTTAAATACGCAGAGGATAGTTACTCATAGATAATTTGCTTATAAATTCCCAGCCCAATTGTTAGAATCCTAGCCGCAGGTTATTTATTTACGATACCTTTACTGTGTGCCTGTGATATACTGGGTTCTGGTTCTGTCTTTTCTTCTCCTTTTGCTGCCCAGAAGCAACCTCTCCATTTAGAGGCTCTTGACCAGCCTCTGGCCAGGCTGTCACAGTGGTATTTTTGGTTTCTCAGCTTCTGAATCTGCTTAGAGGCAAAAGTCAGGGGCATTGATGAGCTTGGGATCCTGCTGTAAGAAAGCATCAGGTATTCATCGTCATGAATCATGAGACAAAAACAGGTAACGGTCGTTAAGGCATCTGGCCAATCTCCTGGTGGCCTAACCATAATCCATCCATGTGGGTCAATCATGAAGGATTTTATGATTACCCTGCTAATAATGTAGACTTTTGGCAAAAGGCCTTAGGTAAGAGGGCACTGCGCCCCTTCCTTGGAAAGTAATAACTTGTGTGTCTCGGCCCCTGCATTTGCTTTTGTCAGTTCTCTACCACTCAACTAAAGTGGCGCCCTTCGCTCCTTGTTATATTGCTCTATTTTGTTTTCATCATGGTACTTATCTCCACTTTTCTGTTTACTTGATTAGGGTCTGACTCCCTCCGCTAGACTGTAAGCTCAAGGAGAGCAGGAACCATTTCTGGGTTGTTCATGGCTATATCTCATGTGTCTAGAATACACTGAATAAATGAATCAAAAGTCCCACATTCCAACTGTTGGAAAAAGAAAACTAGGATGTGTACCTTCAAGATCTAATTAGCAATCACTCTGCAGTATCATTGCTCAACCCTGGAACTGAGATACACATTAATTGCTCCTGCTGTGTGTGGCTCTAAATGCTCCACTACATTTTTATCTACTGCATTTCTATCCATTGGTTCATAAATGCTCTGTCTACAGCTGGGAAGTGTCTGCAATGTCTCATAAAGGAGGCAGTCAACAGGCAAAAGATAAGCGCTTGTAAGTAAAGGAGTAGGACCCAAGGGAAACCTTATCAAGAAATCGTTGTTAAGGTGTAACTTTCTATTGCAATCTATGCAAGATCTGTTCCCTAAGCTCCTTTTTCTGCCCTGTGCTGGGAAAGGTGAATTGGACATTGAAAACCTGTTTGAAAAAATTATTCAGAGTCCCAGAGCAACTTCTGGTGAAACTGTCCAAATTTTTCTGAAATTCATGCTCATCCAAGTAACTGCTCATAAAGGCACAATTTTTGAGGCAAAATTAAATTATTTCATGCTTATTCTTCCATTTCTCATGTTTCCTCATGACAACACAGAGGTAGGTAGGAGTCAAGAGTTAGCATTTTACCAACCCTGGACAATTTTTTTTTAATGATATGTATAGGAGCATGAGTTGGCACCTTCTGGTCTTTTGGTGTCCCCAAATATAAAGAGGTCCAAACTGACACTTTCTGAAGAATATTAAAAGGAAGTAAACGGGAAAGTGAATCTGCTTACCGGTGGGAGAGCTCCTCAGGAGTTCCTGGTTTGTGTGAAGATTTCACTGGGTTTCTTGGCAGTGGACTGGAGACTCATATCACCATTCAAGGAGACTCATATCACCATTCTGATGATTAACCAGAAATTGCTCCTGGATGCTAAATATTGTTCTCTTCGAAATCAAACCCATTTTGAATTTCTAACCCAAATCAGTTTTACCTGCGAAAGTCAGAAAAGTGTAAACCCTCTGTCCTGAAATACAGGCACAAACTTATCTCAGATATTAAATACTCATAACCACTGTGGCTGTGGCTGGTGTTGTTCTAATAATGAAAAGCCGGGAAAAAGTGAGACTTAATCCAGAAATCCATCAAAGAAGACAGCAAAAATGAAAATACAGTGCTTGAGACACCACACCCCTTGAATTACATGCACACACGCAGACTTACAGAAAAACACTGACACTTCAGTAGCTGCCCATTCCATGACAAATCCCAACTTCCTATCTCTTCATGACTGTAATGCATCTGGACTAGAATAAATTCAGGGTTTTCTTCAGTCTATAATGTTAATAGCTTGCATTTATTCGCTCTTTACCTTTCACGGTATGGCTTCTCATACTTTATCCCATTTGAACATTACAACAAGCTCATGGAGAAGGCAGACAGATATTCTATTCCCATTGTAAAGCTGAGACTCTGAGAGTTTGAGTGACTTGTCAAAGATCATACAATAAGCAACTGGCAGAGACTGCATTAAGGCTTCAAACTTCAGATTCTTTAACTCTATGCCTGTCCTGAAATGTTTCATAGCTTCTTGGGTATCCCAGGAGATCTGATATACCCTGCAGAACTCTCATAAGCTCAAATTATGTCTCAAGACTTCAGACCTGGATGCTGGTCCAAGGCAATAATAAGCTTAAGCTAGGTGGACTTTCCCAGACTGTCCTAGCATTGATTAGTCATATTTCTGGAGAGAACCCAGGTCCTCTGAGCTAGAACACACAACCTAAAGGTACACTTGAACTGCTCCATCCTAGGAGGGAAGTGTCAGACAGCCAGTATTCTTCCCAAACAGAAGCCCAGTGAATTTGTTTCCAAGGATGGAGAGTTACATCTCATTAGATCCCATGTATTTTGAGGGCTTGGACCAAAGATGCAAGAATTCATGTAGGTACTTTCCACCTAAATCAGTCTATTCAAGGCATGTTAAATAATTCATTCTCTGATGAGGCCAAACATGCCTGGGTTTGTACCATCTATACCTCATCCTTTTGAGACATAACATAGTTCTCATCCTAACAGAGCCAATGAAAAAATATAAGCCCCGTGTATATCTTGTCCCCACTCACACGTTACCTGTCTAGCCTGAATGCACAGATACTCCCTTCTAAGTTTACAAAAGATACTTCCTTTCTACTGGCACAAATCACAATCTCCTTGTTTTCCGAAATTTATTTTTTAACAGAGACAGGGGAAGGACTCTCATTTATTGACTTCTAAATATGTGTCTAGCCCTGAGATAGGCAATTTTAAGAATATGATCATTTTTAAATTCTCATAATAGTTCTGTGAGGAGGTCATTTCACAGATGAGAGAAGAAAGGTTAGTAGAAGTTAGATACTCCCAAGGTCACATAGACCGAAATTCCTGGTCATCTTCAAATCTCAAATCCTCGATCTTTCTACTCATAAGATGTTGAGAATCCAAAGATAAACTTGGCCTACTTGAACTTCGAAGGAGGAGGAAGGTCTTGCCTTTTTTAGGAAGGGAGGGGAAATCAATCTCTCCCATCCTTTCTTTTCAGTAATGCTAAGGGAGGTGGAAGAAGTTTAAGAGCAGCAAGGGCTCCGTGAAGAAGGCGGGAAGCTTTCAGAGGGCAGGAAGCGGGGCTGGGTAGCCAGCTTTGTCCAATGCCAAGTCCAGAGGTGGAGCTTCTGGCAGAGTCTGTGCATTCGCAACACACCGATACTGCAGAGTCCTGCCTGGTCCTTTTCCCGGACAGAGAGCTGCTTGCATCTCTTGCCCCTCGGCCTCATATAGCCTGAGATACTGGAAGGGGCACCTGGAGGATCAGTAGGCCAGGCAGGAGTTGACAGAGAGCGCGCGCGCGCGTGTGCGTGTGCGTGTGTGTGTGTGTGTTTGCGGGGTGGGGGGCCGCCTGGTGAGAGGCTTCGGCTCAATAACGTAAGGGGTTGGGCAGCCCACGTGACTCCAGGAGGGCGGAGACCAGCTAGCTGGAGGGAGGACTGACAGGCCGCGGGGAGGGTGCGGGGTAGACGGGGCAATCTGCATAACCGAGGAGCTGTTCCGCAGCAGCGGCTGCCTGCTGCCTTCCTTTGGCGCCACCAGCCAGCATCACAGGAGGCAGGGCCGGGCGCTGTAAGTGCGGACGGCCAGCCATCAACCCCGGCAGCCAGGTCATCTCCTCCAGCCCTCCGGTGAGTGAACGTCCCCGTTCGCCGCGGTCTGCCCGCCTCCGTGCCCTCTGCATCCCAGCTGGACCCCCGCGCATGGGAATGATTGCCTCTGGTTGAATGAACCAGGGAGACGGAGCCACCGGGAGGGGGGAAGCAGGAACATGGCGCGGAGGCTGAGGTGCGCCCTCCGGGAAGGGGTCTCCTGTAAGAAGGAAGGAGGCGAGTCGGGGTCTCTCCGGCTCTGGCCCGGAATGTGGCCTGGACAGCATGCAGGGTAGGGGGACGCCGGGCTCCAACTCGCAGGGCTACCAGGCGGGGCTGGGACGAATGCAGCTCCGGCGCGGCGGGAGATAGAGGCGAAGGAGGGAGCCGCGAGCTGCGTCCGGGCCCCCCCGGGTCTCCACCGACGCCGGGCTCGTCCTGTCCCCCCATGCCTTGCACACACCGGGCTCGCACAGTTCGGTTCTCGGCCTCGGAAAGAGTCCATGGAGAGGAAGAGACGCTTTTCCGGCCGAAGCCCGAGGGGAGAGCGGGGACAAACAACGTCTGCCCTTTTACCAGAGAGCAAACTCTTCAAAGGGACTCTAGCTGAGCCCGGTGACCTGACCAGGCCAGCGCGCTCTCAGGAGCATCTGTCCCCAGAGAGCGGTGACATGCCAGGGGCGACGAGGAGGACGTGATGGGTGAAGTGTCCAGGGAAGCTCCCTGGCCAGAGGGGGCAACCCTGGGGAGAGGATTGTCACCTGCACGTAAGACTCCTCTCTTCCCCCATGCCAAAGCACATCAGTGTCCTACGAATCCAGAGGGCCAGAGTAGGGCAGTGTGGCCTTGCGGGACGCAGCCCCCAACCTCCTTCTCGCTCTTGAGTCACCCCCTCCCTCCCCCGCCCCCCACACACAGGTATTTTGTTTTGTGATTGAACAGTAAGATAGAAGTCGCCAAATGAATAGAAGCGAAGTGAAGTGGAGGCGGAGGAAAGATGCGGGAATGCTGGAACAGTAGAGCTCTCGCCTGTTCCTGGCACTCCCCACCCCACCACCTGTGCCAGACACGGTTCATTGAGGTCTTGGACTGAGAGGCGCAAAGGAACCGGCTCTTGGGAGGGATTCTCACCGAAGTGGTGGGGCCGGTCACTGGCCAGAGTTGACCAAGAAACACAGAATGGTAACCCACCTCCTCTCCCCCCTCCACCCACTCCGACCAGAGCCCCCTCCAGGAAGGGGTCCGGGAGAACGCCAAGCGGCAGGATAGCACCAGTCAGGAGCCTGGACCACAGAGAGGATGGCGGGGAGGGGCGCTGTCCGCGGTGCTGAAAGTTCTCCGAGACAGGGAGATAATCCTGCCAGGGGACTGGCGGCTCACCGCTTGCCAACATTTCTCCAAAGCAGAAACTGCGTTAGAACCACGTAAAGCGGGGCAGGTGGGGCAAGCGACCTAGAGAGATGGGTAAAGGTGCTATGCATTCCCTGGTTCTCTGCCTTCCCCCGGACTCCGCTTGGAAGGAGATTTTCCCCACTCCTGGCTAGAGGAGCAAGGAGCGGCTATCACTCCAGGATCCAGCTTTGCTGTCTTCGAATGGGAAAGAATGTGGCGCCTCGTTCTGTTTTCTCTGCCTGCGCTGTGAATCTTCCTGTTGGTAAAGCGTTGGAAACACAGTTAGGGTTGCTGTTCTGGTAAACACTTCTGTGGCTTTCAAGAACCAGAGAACTGTGAGGCAGCACAAAGGAAGAGGCTTCATCAATGGAGAGACCGGACTTTCTATTCCTGGCCAAAGATTTTTCTGTCTTCAGCACCCTTCTCTCCCCACCACACGTCACTTACAGCTTCTAGATATAGATCTCTAAGCAGCCCAGTGTGTTTCTTTGATGAGTCTTTTACATTACGGGCTAGATGAGGAAGGAACTAAGCCAATTTAGGGAGGCCACGATAAGAGAATATTTACTAAAAACCTACTATCTGCTGAATCATATTATCTCATTTAAGCTTTACAATAGCTGCTAACCATAAGTTTCACCAAGTTAAGAAAACTGAAGTTACGTATCTCAAATCCAGAGCTTGGATTCAAATTCAAGTCTGCTTAACTCTGAAGTGCAAGCTATTTTCACGCCTTCATTTTGGCATTTGGCTTTGGATAGCTGTTACTGGAGAATACAGCAAGAGCCTGTCAAAGGTAGAGGGCCTGCTTTTTTTTTTTCCACACACACTACTCTCTCTTCCGACCCTTTCCTCTTTAATCTGTTCACCCACCCACTGTCACTCACTCCCGCCATACCAGCTGCTGTTGTGCATGCTGCTTGAGACACCACTGTTCAACTTGGGCTTCAGGACAAGAGAAACACATTAGAGGACTAAAACAGCAGGCTTTCCTGAAAGAACAGCAGGGCTTTGGGGAATCTGGAGGATTAGAGCCCACTTGTGCTTTCATATTTAGATTTACACCCTTGAGTTAGAGGGCTGGAATAATCTTCAAAATCACTGAGCATCATTGTTTTACAAAAAGGAGAATTTGGGAACCACAAGATGGTTATTAGTCTAAGTCAGAAAACTGAAAGGTTAGGATTGGAATCCAGTTGACCTGACTCCGAGGCCGGTGCCCTTTCCACTACCCCCATGGTGCCTCAAATATTCTTCCATGCCTTCTTTGATTATCTTTGACAGGAACGTCAGCATGAGTGAACTATATTCAGTAATTATAAACACTTAAAATACAAGCAGTCCTCATTCCTACTTTTTCTACCTATTCTTTCCCCTTTGGTCTCACTATTCCAGTGTTGTCTGACCCAACATAACTGAGATACCT